TCCAGGAAGGCCTTCGGGGACATGGTGCCCGGCTTCAGCGTCTTCACCGCCACCTTCGTGTTGCCGTTCCACGTGCCTGCCCGGAGGCCGCGTCTCAGCACCCGCTCCCGGCCAGCCCAGGCCCAGGCCCCCGCCCCGGGCCCCGCCCCGTACCCCGGGACTTCCGTACCCAGCCACACATCCCCGAAGCAGCCGGTGCCCAGCCGGCGCTCCAGCGCGATGGAGCTGCGGCTGATCTCCCAGGCGTCCTTGGCCAGGCCCAGCGTCTGCGGCTTCATGGTGGTGCAGGGTGCGACTAGCAGGTTGCACAGCCCGTCATTCACCTCTGGAGGGGGCGGGGAGTCACAGGCGGCCAAGACGCCCCCTACGCTCATCGTCTTACCCTAGCCCAGACCAAGATTAGTTATAAGGAACTAGGCCCCAGGTGGGGTCATAGGCCAGGAAGGCAACCCACTCACTCAGTAGGTGACAGTGATACCTGAGGAAGGCACCCAGAGGCCGAGAAGACCCCTGTAAGCAATGGGGGCCTTCCTGTAAGGATTGGGGACCTTTGCACAGGAGGTAGCCTCCACCTGGGATACGGTGAGATTCTGACAGGTGGAAATAGGATTGAGGATTCCAGGCAAGGTGTGGACCTCCTGCCCACATCCTTCCATGGACCACACCCTTGGCCTAACCAATCAAGGTGGAAACTCGGCACCAACTCTCACTTTCTCCTCTACCCCACAGGCAATCCTCCACCAGGTGGGCCTACTCTGCCTTCTACCTAGCTTCAGAATCACCTGCACCTCCTTTGCTCTACTGCTACAGATTTAGTCTAGTCACCATTTTCTCTCACCTCGATGATGGCCGCTGCCTCCTGATGAGGTCCTCATGGGACCTTGCCCCATGACATCCAAGCCCTACCCAGCAGCCAGAGTTTCTCACTCAAGTGCAGACCAGCCTCTGTCACCCCCGGCTCAGGGCCCTGTGATGAGGGCTCCCTGCTTGCCCAAAGGGCAGTCCTGGTGCTTTGGTGGGGCATTCAGGCTGCACAAAGGCTCGATAAAGTTTCCACGCACTCAGGCCTTGAAGCAAGAAATTGGTCAATGCTCCACTCAGTCATGAGGGGATACTACTTGGCCTGCATGGCCTTTCCTCCAGAGCCCTACAGAGCAAGATCCTGGGTTGGGGAGCCCCCATGCTTGGGTTCTAGTCTTGGCCTGACCTATACCGCTTTGGTAGACCCTTCATTCTCTGGGCCTCCGGCTCCCCATCTGGACAGAACCTCAACAGGTTGGTTCAGGGATCTGAAGCGCCTGCCTCACCCATGTAGTGCTGCACCAGCTCCTGCACTGAGTCAAACTGGGCCCGCGTGGTGATGTAGTAGCCTCCAGTGTCCAGCTTGCGGATCTTGTAATGCTTCACGTGATCGCCTCTGGTCTGGTCCCAGTCACGGATGGACAGGGAGTAGGCACCTGTGGGAGAGGGTCACTTTGGCTCGTCCCAGGCTTGGCCCTGACCCCACGCACCTGACCGCCCTCAGCCCCACCCCGATGGCCAGGTCTCCCAGTGGCCTTGGCCCGTGGTGCTGCCCCCACCTTTGGTGGTCTCGCTCTCCCGAATGAGGAAGGCCCCCTGGGGGTTGCCTGGCGAGAGCAGCTGTCTCTCCGCATCCTTCCTACTGATCTTTCCAAAGTACCACCTGTTGGGAAGGGCAGACAAGAGTCATGTCCACTCTGTTCAAACCCCAGATCGGCCTCCTGGACAGTCATCTCACAAGTCAAGACTCCACTTTCCAGACACCTGCTTCACAGCACAGCCAGGAGGATCACTGATGGGAGGAATGTGCAACGCCTGGCACACAGCAGGTGCCCAATAAAGGTCGGGCTTCTTCTCTCTTTGAGTTTCTCTTGAATTAAAATTGCAAGAACCCTGGTCACTAGGGACCTCATCAAGGTGCCCCAGTCCCTTAGTTTATCTCGGTAGAGCCCCTCCACACACTACAGATGAGAAGCTTGAGGCTCAGAGACGAGGAGTGACTGCTCTCAGGCTGGCTGAGGAGCTCGACCTGGAATCCTCGCCCTAGTTTTTTCCCACACTCCAGGCTATGGCTCAGCTCCCTCCTCCCACCTCCACCCCAAACCCTTTCCTCCATGGGCCTCTAGAACACTGCCCTCTCCTGCTTCTCCTCTGTCTGGCTACTTCTGATTGCTGCTTTTCCTCCAGTCTCTTAAACTTGGATGTTGTCCCAAGTCACAACTTCAACTTTAGGCCTCAATCGTTCAAGCTGTCTTTTGGAATTCTTTCCGGGATTGAACTGTAGCCCTAAAGCTACTGTGCAAATACACTGGCGGCACCAAAGTGACTACAGGAGACTCAGAGATCACTAAACTGGCCTGTGACCATCTTGGGCTGAATTAAAAGGAGCCTGGTTTTTAAATCAAGGGAGGTGGAAGTCTCAGTGAACTCTGGGATGAATGGGATGGACAGTCCACTCCTGGGTACTAGGCACAGTTTAGGGAACAGAGGAAGGCATTGGCGAGTGGTATGTCCAGGAGGGCAGGCAGAAAGGAGAAGGAGGAACTCTTGAAGAATAGGACATATTCCCAAGTTCTTTCAAAGCCCTGCCGTTCCACCCACATCATAAGGAAATGATGTTAGCTATTTCCTTAATTATCAATATAATAATAACGGCACTTATTTTGTGTTAGGTTCTGCCTTCATACATATTTGTATTCATTTAATTCTCATCACAACGTTGTGAGGAAGGTACTATTATTAACCCCCATGAGACGGATGAGGAAATTGAGCTACCTAGTGGTTAGACAACTTGCTCAAGCCACCGGCTCTTAAGCTGTGCTGCCGGAACAGGAACCCGAGCTGTCTGCTCCAGGCCTGTGCTCTTAACCACAACACGACCCTTAACCACACCACTGCACCTCTTGAGCCTCATGACGCTGCCCCCCGAGACAGGACACAAGCACAAACCCCCACAAACCTCCCGCAGGCTGCATCACAGCCCCTCCCCTTCTTTGCGACTCCCACTGCCCTCCCCAGACTAAGGCTTCACCCACTTGAGCTCTGTCCATTCCTTTCTGCTCAGGGACACTCCCCCCTCCACTGAGCAGCCCCATCGGTAGCCTCTCCATCCCTGCCATTCTAAACATGCCCACATTTCCTCCTTCCCCAAGAGAAACTATTCTAAGTTCCATCTTGCCGTCAACATTCGTCAGCTTCTCACCTTCCCTTCACTTGAAAAAGCGCTTCACACTTGGGTCTCCACTTCCTCACCTCCTACTCCCTCCCAGGCTCTGCTGTCTGGCCTCCACCCCCACTTCACACAGAGAAATCTCTCACCAAGGTCACCCTCAATGCCAAATCCAGTGGCAGCCTCTGACACTCCCTGCCTCATCTCCTGAAAATACTCTTGGATGTTCTGACTTGGCCTGGCCTGGTTTTCCTCATGTCTCCTGCTGGCTCCTTCTTTGAGGGCCACATTCCCTGAAGCTGGGTCCTAGGGCCAAGCTCTTTCTCTTCCCCTCATCCTATGTAGCTTTCATGATATCATCTTTACTCTGAAGGGTCCCAAATTTCTACCCCAGCCCAGGTGTGCCATCCACAAGGGCCACAGCAAACCAACTATGGTGTCTCAGTGCCCTTAGGAAAAGATGCCCCTTCCTCTGGGCTAATTCAGGTATATGGCTTGGCATGGGCTGGGCTGCTGTCATACAAAGCACAACTAATCTAGTGACCGGAAGCCTCCTCCTGGGTGCTCCTTTCCATGAACCTCAATTCAGCAAGCGCCCCTCTGAACCCATGAACCTGTACCTGAACCTGGGCTCCCCACCCCAGGAAGTGGCACCAGCATCCACTCAGTTCCCTAAGAAGATTTAGAGTTACCCTGAGTCCTCCTGCTCCTTGTGGCCCAATAGTAAATCAGTCACCAAGTCCTGGTGATTCGCTCTATGTGTTTCTCCTGAATTAAAATCGCAAGAACTCCGGTCACTAGGGACCTCATCAAGGTGCCCCAGACCCTTAGTTTATCTCGGTAGAGCCCCTCCATACACTACAGATGAGAAGCTTGAGGCTCAGAGATGGAGAGTGACTCCCTCTCTGATTCTTACTCTGATTCTTATTCTGCAAAATCTCGTTAATCTTTTTTTTTTCTCATGTGAATATATATGATATATGTGAGGATAGATTTTTTTTTTTTTTTAGTCAGAGTCTCACTCTGTCGCCCCGGCTGGAGTACAGTGGCATACTCATGGCCACCTTAACCTGCTGGGCTCAGGGGAGCCTTCCACCTTAGCCTTCCAAGTAGCTGGAACTATAGGCACATGCCACCATGCCAGGTTAATTTTTTTTTTTTGAGTTGGAGTCACACTCTGTCGCCCAAACTGGAGTGCCGTGGCATATTCGCGGTGACTCCAGCATTGACCTGCTGGGCTCCGTGGTCCTTCCGCCTCAGCCTTCCAAGTAGCCAGGACTACAGGGTGTACTACCATGCCTGGCTAATTTTTTCTTTTTAACTATAGAGATAAGGTCTCACAAAGTTGCCTGGGCTGGTCTCGAACCTGCGACCTCAGGCAATCCACTTGCCTCGGCCTCCCAAAGTGCTGGGATTACAGGCTGAGCCACCGAGTCCGGCCATAATTTTTTATTTATTGTAGAGATGAGGTCTCACCAAGTTGCCCAGGCTGGTCTTGAACCTGTGGGCTCAGGCAATCCTTTCACCTTGGCCTCCCAGAGTGCTGGGATTATAGGCATGAGCCACTACACCCGACCGTGAGGATAGATTTTAACAAGTTTTTATGAGCCTCAGTTTTCTCATCTGCAAAACGGGGACAGTAATAATATCAGTAATGTTATTGTGTAAATTAAATGAACCAAGGCTGGTAAATTAACTCTAGCAGTGTCTCAAGTATGCAAAGGTACACCATGAATGGTAATTCCCTGCCTCCTTAATAGAATGAGTTCTTAGTAACACTTCCTGCATTCATTTAGCACTGTACAGTTTTTTAAAGCTGTCACTTGCACTGACAGGCGACATGTATAACACCCCACAAAGCAGTCAGACTATCTGGGTTCATACACTTGCTCCACTTCTCACTAGTCATGTGAATCTGGGCAGGATATTTACTTTCTCTTTGCCTCAACTTCCTTATTTGTAAAATAGGATAACAATAATAACTCTGTAAATACACAGAAAGCACTTTGAATAGTGCCCAGAACATAGCACATGCTATGTAAGTTTTATCTACTATTATCACCATCATCATTATCTTCTTGTATTCTCACAGGGACCATACAAAATGATAGATAAGGAGACAGGCTCAGAGTGGAGCAACGACTTGTCTAGGAGATGATCTTGGAATCTGAACTTCAGGGTCCTGTCCATAGTGCTGGCCTTGCCCCAGCCCCCACTCACTCTTCAGCCTGGATGGAGTCCACAGGGGCCACATAGTTGCTGGGAATGTAACCAGTTCGTCCAGAGCTGAGGGACCGAGCTTCCCACCAGTCACCTTCACTGTAGGCACAGAACAGGGGGCAGTCAGCAGCAACCCCAGTCCTGGGGCACCCTGGGGCTGGGCAGGGCGGCTCAGAGGAGATGCGCCCTGCCAACTCCTGACCTTGGACATCCCTCCCCTGGGCCTTCTGTCTGCCCCGCCCCCAGTCACTGCAGCTGTGCCAGGAAGGCTTTTCCCTGCAGAAGGAATAAGTCTGGGGATATCTGGGTCTCTCCCAGTTTCTTCCTGTGGCTCCTCAGCTGGGCTGGGCTGAGGTTTGGGAACACAGTGGATAGCTGTCTAGGTCACTTCCCCACTGAAAAAACCCCAGTGGCTGTATATTGCCTTTTGGAGAAAACCTAGACTTCTCAACGTGGTTTAAAAAGTCTTGCAGAGACTAGGCACAGTGTTTCACGCCTGTAATCCCAGCACTTTGGGAGGCTGAGGCAGGATGATCACTTAAGCCAAGGAGTTCGAGATCAGCCTGGGCAACATAGTGAGATCCTATCTCTCAAAAAACAAAAACAAACAAACAAAAAAAAACGGCTTGCAGAATCTGCCCCCACCTACCACTCCAGTCTCTGTTTTCTCCATTCTGCTTCTCATACTTTATTAACTACCTAGAATGAACTACTTGGTAGTTTCCAGAAGTCATTGTTTATTCTCATTCTCTTTTACTCTCTCTCTCCTCACCAATTCCTTCACTGACTATTAATTTTCTAGTCTCAGCTTAAAAATCACTTCTTCGCTGAAGCCTTCCCTGATCACCACTACCCTGGGGACCATGTTTGCTATTCTTTCTGTGCCCATAGTTCCTCATGCTCCCCCCTGTATACTGGCAGTCACTCAGGGATTTTTGTCAGGCATATGTGTCCCCAACTGGTCTGGAGCTTTCTGAGGGCAGGGACCAGGTAGGACTCCTGTCTGGGTCCAGCTTCCAGCCAAGGCTATGCCCTGAGCGAGGTGGCCTGGTCACTTACGTGTTGTTTAGGATGTGGAACTTCTCACCCTTGGTGAAACTGAGGTCATCCTCTGTCCGGGCCTCGTAGTCATACAGGGCGATGAACAGGGTCACCCCAACCCCTGCAGAGTCAGTGCTACTCAGCAGAGTAGGGCATGGGACAAAAGCACCAAGGGGGGCTGTACCCCCAGATTCCTGTTCCACAGCCCAACACTGTTTCCTGCTTCCCAAAGGTCTTCGGAGCCCAAGGAGTTTCTGATTTGGGCTTCATAGCTTGGCCCCCCCTGGATTTGGGACACGCACCTTCAAGCCCATCCCTCCCACGTGGGGAATCCCTTGTTGCCCACACTTCTTCTTCCCACCAAGACTTCCTACCTGGAATGTGGCACCTGAGAGGCCAAGAGGCTTCTCTTCACCACTTGCATGTGTCGTTGGGGCCCTCCTGTCAGCCTAGGAAAGAGCTACATCCCCCCTCAGACCAGGGCTTCCAAGGGGACGGAGGGACCGTATAGACCCCTCAGCCTGTGTGACCTTACAAGCAGCGTTGTGTCTCCCACGTGCTACTAGAGGCTCCGAAGTCCCCATCCCCCTTCCCCAGATTCTCCCATGATCCAGGCTGGGCCTGCCTCCAGCACCCTGGACTCACCGGAGAGGCCCCTGACAGTGCCACCATCGAGGAAGGCGGGGCTGGTGGGCTGAGGAAAGAGGTTGTAGTTGGGGATGTGGACAAAGGAAGATGCAGGTCGGGCCTGAGTGGGGTCAGGGCCATAGCGGTCTGCTGCCCCATAGCCCCTGACGTCCCCTTCTAGGTCAACAACCTCCTTGGACGCTGGTTCCAATTTCTTGCAGAACACACAGCCCATTCCAGGTTCCCTGCTGCAGAATGGGGTCATGCCTCACTCAGGGGCCCCTGCCAGGTGCACCCCCTGTGCCCACATTCATGCACATGCATGTATACACACAGGCACGTGGCTTTCCCTCTGGCGTCTGGATTGGGGGCCTCTGTGAGGGGTCAAGCCACCACTGTTGGCTCCACCCTAGTCTGAGCCTCCTGAGGGCTTCTTGTCCTTGGCTCAAGCCTGCATCTCTGGGGCTGGATTTTCGCATGGGGATACCGTTGTGCCTATTTGTATATTTTTGCCTCCTCTTGCTTTGATATGTTGTGTTTCTGTGACTTCAGTGTGCTTGTGCACGCATGTCTTTGTATGTCTCTATGTATGTGTGAGTTTGATTGTAGGGGGATATGTGTGCGCGCGCAGCTCTTTGTGGATGTTTATGTGTCTGTGTGTGCAGGTCTGTGTGTCTGTGAGTGTATGTGATGTCTCTGCGCGTGTGTTTGGCTGTGTGTGCCTTTCTGTGAGATTGTGTGAGTGTGTGTGTTCGTGTGTGTGTGTGTTTCTGTGTGAGTGTGTGCGCCTGTCTGTGTGAGGAGGTGTCTCTGTGTCTGTCTATGACTGTGTACATAGTTCTGTGTGGCAGCAACGTGCCGGTCTGTGTGTGTGCCTCTCTGTGTGTACGTGCGTGTTGGTGTGAGTGCATGTAAGGGCCGTGTGCCTGCACCTGGAGATTCCCCGCAGAGGGGGATCAAGGCCATTTCCTGTCGTGGGTCCAGCCTCCAGCCTCTCAAGCTGCCTCATTCTGGCTCCCCCATCGGTTACCTAGCAACAGGGCCCTTGTAGGAGGAGGGGGCTGTGAGGTGTTGTGGGGCCCAGGAAGGCCGCCCCCACCCTGCTTCCTGACCCTGAAAGCCCCCAGGCCCCCTCACTTACTTCCCGGGCCCCTAATCCTGGTCAGCGGGGTTGCGGCATGGTCCTCGGGAGGGGCCAGAGACCTGAGGGGAGACAGAAGGACGTGGAAGATGAAAGCTCTGCCGACGTTCCTGCCAGCCAGCTGCCCAGCTCCTGCCCTCTTCAGGAAGCCGGAAGGCCTGGGTTCTGCCCCAGCATGACTTCTGCCTTCATTCTCCTTCCTACCAACCCTGGCACACGAACACCTCCACCCTCACACTGGGCACACCCACACCAGCTCTCACACTCATACCCACCTGACACCCACAGAGAAACACACATTCATACCAGCACACAGTCACACAACACTCAGAGCACACACCTGCATAAGTGTGCTTGCTAATACCACCACAACCCAATCCAGCCTCACAGAAGCCCAAGCTCTGATGCACAGTAGCACACACACATACATACATGTGACTGCCTCTCAGGGTAACAGAAGAACATACTCAGATATCATAGTTGGTTTGTTTTTTGAGACAGGGTCTTACTCTGTCACCCAGGCTTGAGTGCAGTGGAACAATCCTAGCTCACTGAAACTTTGAACTTCTGGGCTCAAGTGATCCTCCCGCTTCAGCCTCCTGAATAGCTAGGACTACAGGCACGCACCACCCTGCCTGGCTAATATTATTATTATTATTATCTTTTGAGTTGGAGTCTCACTGTCGCCCAGACTGGAGTGCCGTGGCATGCTCCCGGCCACCACAGCCTCGACCTGCTGGGCTCTGGCGATCCTTCCGCCTCAGCCTTCCAAGTAGCTGGAACTACAGGTGCGTGTTACCACACCTGGCTAATTTTTGATTGAGTGTAGAGACGAGGTCTGGCCAAGTTGCCCGGGTGGGTCTCAAACCCACGGGCTCAGGCAATCTACTCACCTTGGCCTCCCAAAGTGCTGGGATTACAGGCTGAGCCACCGAGCCTGGCAGCTAATATTTTTCAGAGACAAGATCTCGCTGTGTTGCCCAGGCTGGTCTTGAACTCCTGCCCTCATGCAATCCTTCTGTCTCAGACTCCCAAAGTCCTGGGATTACAGGCATAAGCCATCACACCCGGCCATAGTTTTTTGTGTTAGACCAGACCCATCCCTCTGACTGGATTTCTATCAAGCCATTCTCAACTCACTCATAGGCCCCCAGCCTACCGTGTTCTAAAAATAATTTCTTCGCCTGAACGCTGCCTCTGCCTCCAGCCTAAGCTAGGTAAACACCAACAGCCCCAGGGTCACATCTGGTGACAGAGAGAAAGTGGATGCCTACCTCTAGAGTTCTTCTATCCCCACATCAGGGAAAGACCCAGGTCAGAAGCTGGGGCCATCAGACTCCCTTGGAGAGCTCCTCAAATGAGTCAAACCTTTCTTGGAAGATGTGTCCTCTGAGCAACAGGGCAGGAAGTCATTGAGCAAGGGTCCCCCACATCCATTGCAACACTCAGAGAGGAACTGACTGGGGAGAGGGCTCAATTTCCTAAGACATGAGAGGAGTGAAGAGCCATCGTGTGCAGCCAACCCAGTGGGCCCTGATTTGCCCCAAGGACCCCAAAGTGCTAGGGACAGTAAACCCTCAGCTTCTCTCTCTGTACCCCCAGTTTAGTTACCCTTATGGACACCCAACTCTTCTCTCTGGGTCCTGCCCTTCCCATGTAACACCACTCACCTCTTCCAGAAAGTCTTCCTGGATCCACCAAGTCCAGTTACCTGCACGATGATTCTGTCAGTACTCTGACCTCGACCCTAGCCCCAACTTGCCCCTCTCATTCTTGACTGTAACTTTTCTCCCATAAGTGTGTTGTGGGGAGTGACACCCATGTGGTAAACATGGTGGGGCGGGCTGTGGTGAGAGACCTGTCTGAAAATAGCCCCCGTTCACCAGACCCTGGCTAAGATCTTCACCCCAGAACCCTTCCCCCGGGGTGAAACCACTGTGTCTGAAAAGACCCGGGATGCCGCAGGGCTGCTCAGGGCCAGGGCAGAGGACAGAGCTGGAGGGATGGAGGGTCCAGCTGGAGGAATCTCAGGAGCTGGTGAGAGGAGAGATGGGGCTGATACGAAAACAAGGGTGAGGATGAAGGTCTCACAGTACGAAAACAAGGGTGAGGATGAAGGTCTCACAGGAAGACGCACACACACCTCAGACGGTGCACAGGGCTGACACAGATCTGCACGACGCTTCGGACCATCTCAGACACACATGTGACCTCAGGTACCTCATAAAGAGACTCTAAGCTCCTCCAGGCAGATTCCCAGGCACATACATCTTCATGTATGCACATCCATCCACAAACTTCCAATCTTTACTCGTCTGCACATAGATATGCACACAAAACCTCTCCACAAGAATGGCAGACATAGAATGCATAGTCCTTACTATGTGCCCGCCACTCCATGAAACACTTTCCCTATATTATCTCATTTTATCCTCACGAACCCATTATTTATTTATTTACTTATTTATTTTTAAGTTGGAGTCTCACTCTGTCTCAGAGGTTGGAGGGCAGTGGCACACTCACAGCCACCATAGCTAGCCTCAACCAGCTGGCCTCAGGCGATCCTTCCTCCTCAGTCTTCCAAGTAGCTGGAACTACAGGTGCGTGCCACCATGCCTGGCTAATTTTAAAATTTTTATCGTAGAGACGAGGTGTTGCCAAATTGCCCAGGCTGGTCTTAAATCCCTGGGCTCAGGAAATCCTCTCATCCCGGCCTCCCAAAGTGCTGGGATTATAGGCGTGAGCCACCACACCGGCCTCACAAACCCATGATTTAAATAATATCCTAACTGATGAGGCAACCTAGGCACAGAAAGGTTTAAAAGATTGCCCAAGGCCATACACAATGTATCCTGACATTCGGCTCCAGAGTTAGCTCTCAAGCACTTCTCTCCATGGCCTATCAGACAGCTGCAGCCATGCCTGCAAGTGTGCACAAATGCAGAGCCCCCACAGGGACGGACACACACACATACACACACACACATACACATACACACACACACAGATATACACCGGCCTCCCCTGAGATGCTGACCCACACAGAGCTCTCCTGTGTTGGAGGACACAAATTTACACAACCTCCCAGGTCCACACACAGATACAATGCTGCCACTTCCAATAATACCCCAGTGTATATTACCACAACATATCTGTATCCGCCCAAGGGGCTCCCTGAATTCTGCATGCCTGGTATGGAGGGGAGAGAAACTGTCCACTTCTAAGAAGGAAGCTGAAAGCTCTGTGGGCTGAGGAAGAGCCCTGGCAGGGCTGCTAGTATGGTCAGCAGGCAGAGGTGGGAGCTCTCCTGGCTTTATCCCCTCAATGGGGACCAAAGCCCTGGCTGGGCCTGGATCTCTGGGGACCAGTGTATGCTGAGGGAGTCGGGGGTTGCAGGGCACAGGGCATGGCACCTGCATAACCCAAGGCAATGAAGAGGCCACAGTGCACCGCACCGTGCTCATGCTCAGGTTTTGTCAGAGGAAGAAAGAAATGGGGAGAGACAGAAAAAGAAGAGGCAGAGAGAGAAAGAGACAGAGGCAGAGTCTGAGAAATACAGAGAGACAGAGAAAGAGCCAGAGAGACATAAAGACAGAGAGACAGAGACAAAGAGAAACAGTAACAGTGTGGTATGCTAGTAGACTGACCCTCAAAAAAAAAAAGTCCTGATTTGTTGCATTTGCTGATTTCCATGGCGTAAATGTCCCCACTATGGCTGATTTAAAGCTACTAAAGTGACTTCCTGAATGCTGGGTTGAAAGAGACGCACAGTCAACTCCCTTGAGCCAGTACTAGCCTGCCCCAGAACATCACTGCCAGAAAGAAGCAGAGACAGAGAAAGAGAGAAATGAGAATTCAAGAGAGGGCAACTGAGAGACAGAAAAAGACAGAAACAGAACAAGAGAAAGGCAGAGATGAAGAGAAACTAAAGAGAAAAGAACTAAAAAAACAGAAAAACAAAGACAGAGAGAGGGAGCAGGCTGGGTACTCTCTGCTCAGGCATCTGCATGAAAAGAGCCCCAGAACTCTTTATCCTTTCCTGGCTCCATCCCCATGTGCCACCAATTCTTTGGAGAGTAATTGAACTTCTTAGGAATCTGGGTAGCGATAACTATTAGTAAAAATGTGCTAATTTATTAAGCATGTACACAATGATTGGCATCATGCCAAGCAATTCCTGTGCATGATCTCATTTAGTGACCCTAATGAGGGAGATTTATTACCAACCCTGTTTTACAGATGAGAAAACTGAGGTCAGATATGTTAAGTAACTTGCCTAAAATTACATTGCCGGGAAGGGAAGCTAAGATGCAAAGCCAATCGATTTACTTCCAAAGCCCATCTTGGCCGGCTCGGTGGCTCAGCCTGTAATCCCAGCACTTTGGGAAGCCGAGGCAAGTGGATTGCCTGAGCCCGCGGGTTCGAGTCCCACCTGGACAACTTGGCGAGATCTCATCTCTACAATAAATCAAAAAAATTAGCCAGGCGTGATAGCATCCTGTAGCACCTCCAGCTCCTTGGAAGGCTGAGGCGGAAGGATGGCCAGAACCCAGCAGGTAGAGGCTGCGGTGGCTGGGAGTGTGCCACTGACTCCAACTCAAAAAAAAAAAAAACCAAAGCCCACCTTAAGTCCTGTTGCATCCTGTAATCCTAGCAGAAGCAATCATTTGTATTCCTTAATGGGCACCTACAGTGTGCTGGGCCTTGAGCCTCATGATTTAAATCCTTGATATAGCCAAGGGGCGGGGGGGTGGGGAGATATCTGTTTTTTATTGGGGTTTTTTTGAGTTGGAGTCTCACTCTGTCACCCAGACTGGAGTGCAGTGGCCGCTCCCGGCCACCGCAGCCTCAACCTGCTGGGCTCCGGCGATCCTTCTGCCTCAGACTTCTAAGTAGCTG